TGAGTCTCTCCATTCGGATATTACAAGCCCTAGAAGCACAACTCATGTCACCAACATTGTCTTGAATTATAACTCATGCTAAATAATAGCTTTCTTTTTACCAATCGTGAAGATTGTAATCTAATGAAAATGTGAAAAAATGTTGGAAATTAATGAGGCAGTGCTTCTTATGGTCTGCACAGTAAATAGTCAACACTACAGGAATAACAGACAATACATAACGCTTGATTCTATGTCTGTTAAGTAGCCAAGTGGACATTCAGCACAGCCAGTAGCACCTAACCCTGATCATCAGCCCTTGTAAACAAAACACCCAGAAAAGCCACTACATTTTGCCACTACTAACAATTCCAAATGTGTATACAATATAAGGTGATTTTAATCAACTGCAGGAAGCCAGGAGGAGAAGCAATTTACTATATATTTAAGCAGTGATTTCTAATAATTACTTTTCTCCAGGCAATGTATTACATTTTAGCCAATAAATTCCAGATTCATGCTAGTAAATTTTATACCTATAAATGTGAGTACATTTAAGAATCAATAAGTTAGGAATTTTAAGTAACACACAATGCAAAATTAACATTATGTCAAAATGTACCTGAGTTATATGTTGGAGATGTAATTCATTTTCTACTGCCATTTAGATTAATTATTTTTTACCAAATAAACTATATTTTCAGTGAGGAATGTAATACATTGTAAAAAATATTACATAAATCAAGTAGTAAGCACTCTAAGTTATGTGTGAAGTTTCTACTATTAATACTTGTAGACATTTACTTACTCCTCCAGACTTGTAGAGTGAATGGGATGGTTGGATGTGGAATTGGTGTAAATGATGTCAGCATTATCAGTAATTAAAGCCTGTGAACCGTTATACAGAAATGAGGTTCAAATAGCTGGGTGTTGGAACAACAGTCAATATGTTACGTCTCTTGTCCCTAAAAACAGCAGTGTTAGTTGGAAAGCAGAGTGTTATTGTGTCTTCCATATCCCATGAATCTGATTGTCTGATATATGGAGCTGGTTAAGGACAGCCATGTGTACATTGGACCATGGATAAATAGGACTAAGAAAGGAGAGTACTTCAAACTTCCAAACTGACACACTTGAAAAAGTACAATTCTGTTTAATTATAGACTATTATTCAACTGATTATTTAAGATAAACTTTTTGTAACCAAATAGTGTTTATGGAGAAACAATAATTGATTATATTTAATACAAAGTTGAAATGTTGGATGCAGATGAACATTTAGACTACTAAAAGACTGTCATATATAACTGCCATTTCCTAATGATGCTACTCTGCCACTAATTTCTATTAAGTTTCATTTCTTGGCAACTTATTGCTTTTTATCTCTTTTATGGCAGAATGTAGATTTTAAGGCAAAGAATATTGAGTAAACATTTAAAAAGCACTATTCGCACTAGACATATTTTAGGATTTCAAAAGACTAGTATAATGACTTCCTTTATTATTTATTCTTCAACACTGACACAGCAAGTTTGCTCTAATGTTTCAGAATTATGAAAATACTGAAATTAATACTAATTCTATTGCGCAGTCTTCCTTGAGCAGTTGCTTGTAATTCAACCAGTTGCTTTTATGCAGCATCAAGGTTCAATGCCAAGTTAAAAAGAAAAACATACCAATGGACCATAATCTGATCCAGATCAATCCATTTCATACCTTCACATTCTGTTTCTCTATGAACTGTTTCAAAATTATCTAATATTACTTTTTTCCTTTTTGTCTTCCTTTATCTCTTAATTTCTATTTCTCTCTCTGTCTTTCTTAGAAATTACAAAATGTATGTTATGTAATAAAATTTGGAATTATATACAAAAAGCTTCAGTAGTTTTATGAATATGTAAGTCAACAGATGCTGGTCTATGTTCTCATGGAAACCAGAATTAAAAGATGGTTGTCTTCTGGGTTGTAACACCATGTAGCATGGTAGAAGTTTACCAACATTTCAGAGGTCTTCCATTGCACTGATGATGGAGGCAGCAAGGACCTCTGAAACGTTGGTAAACTTGTACAAAACCACATAGTACTACAACCCAGAAGACAGCTATTTTCATACTCATTGCCATGAGAACCTAAAACCCTAGTCAGAACTTAGTCCCCATCCCAAAGAAAATATACCACATCACCACCATAAAGATAAATTGGCACACAATATTACATCAATAAAGTGGTTTCATGTTAAGTGGTAGTTAAACCTGTCCAATCTAAACCATATATGAAATGAATATTAAATTTCATGAAAATCTATTAAATTGTTACATGTACATAAACAAATTGACAAAGTAATTTTAATGCATTCCACAGGGATGCAAAAACACCACAGAAACAGACTTCCAACAATAATTTGGTACCTGGAAATTTCATTGCACATTCAGAACCAAAATTCAATGAAGGTTAAAATTTATACTAAAAGTACTAAATATTCTACACTTGATATAATATTTAACTGTTCTTTTATATCTTTTATATTAATTTAAATTTAGGTAAACAAAAATCCATCACATTTAAATTAGCACAAGCAGTACCAATTTAGGAACCAGTAATATGTAAAGCGCCCATTCTGATTCTGTATTTGTGTCCTAAATGAATGATAAAACACTGTCTCCTGGAACCAGAGCAAGGGTTCAGAAGTATGATTCTGAAATACCTAACAGAGCCCTAAACAAATATAAATGATCTCCATTATGGAATTCTATGAATCAGATAACTGATTATCAAGTGTGTCAGTTTGTAAGTTTGAGATACATTCCAGATTAACCACCATTTCAATAACTAGCAAGTGATAATCACTCTGTTATGTCACACTATATTATGTGCAGCACTAA